ACTGTAACAGTAGGCAGCTACGTAAGTTGTCAACTTATTTATAAAATAAATACAAAGGCTTCTGAGTTAGCTAAAGGTCAGTATACTAGAGTACTCGTGGCAATTGTAAAAATAATTTCCTTATTAAACGAGTGAGTGCAAATGTGGAAAGCTTCAGATCAGTCGAGGTTTCTAAATGTTGCTTCTCTTTACTCCTGTAATCAAATTTTCTTTTCTTCCCCTGAACGGTCTGAAGAAGCTTACGGCTTAACTGAAATTCATTGAAAGAATTTCAGCGTTGGAGTTTCCATTTCGATAGACATGGAATGTGAAATAGGGCTCAATGAGGTTTTTGTACTTCTTTCGTCTTTGCTATTTATTTAATTCCTTCTTACTGTGGATATTTGATACTTGCTTCAAAACCCCGGGGCATATTTGACCGAAGCAATAAATGTGCCAATGATACGGAAGCTATGGAAAGTGAGGGATCCTAACGCTAGCTAATTCAGGGTTTGTCTGCTACGCAAACCATAGGTTTCTCTTTAACATGCAGTTGGCAGCATCTCGCCTAAAACATTGTGACCCCCCACAAATATCTAAAATTGCAAAGCGGTACAAAGGCTTGCTGTTGAATAGGGGCATGGTGCGCTGCTGGAAGTAGTTATGTTAGGGAGGTGGTACATGTGTTTTCCTATACGATTGGCGGATCACTTGCAAATCCGTTGCGCAGAACTGCCACTTAAGTTCAAAACTGCTTGCTTGGCAGATGCCTCGTGTAAGAAATTGCTTTTCTGATAGGCGTCCTGTAACGTACCTAATACATTCGCTCTGATAATCTCCTTTATAACTCGCGCTCTGCGCATTTTTCCCTGAGATCGAGTAAAAATTGCTCTGTACTAATAATCATTTCAGTGGGGCTTTGTTAAGTTTCTAGAATATTTGGAGAGGCTTCAGTAAGTGTGGTTCTGTCGGTTTTTGTCCAGTGAGAGCAAGATTGGTATAACCTTTCCATTTAAATCAGATAGAGTATATAGGCTAATTCATAAGGAAATTCTGAAGTATGAGTTTGCTGCGATATTACATGTAGGGTTTAGATCTCCAGATATCTTGTCGCGTTTACCATCACCGAGGTCTAAGAAGAGAGGTCGAGTTCCTACACCGAGGTGAATGTGAACTGGCGCTTTGGAAGCCTATTCGCTACCATCTTTCCTGTATTGTTCCTACAAAAAATGCAATACAAAAGTCCCAATGCTCAAGTCGACAACCAATGTCAGTGGTGATTTGATTGTCCAAAATACACTCTAAGTAAGTCTAAAACGAGTGAATTTGGACTGTAGAATATTTCGTTTCTCCACAGGACAAAGCTGCTGACGCTTCAAACTTTCAAGCGTTTTTAAGCGTTTTAGCGCTTTCACAAAACTAACATGGATATTTCTGGATTAAATACAGGTGGAGCCCATAAAAAAGCTTAAATTCAAGCCGCAAATATATCGGCCACTATCATCAGCATCTTGTTCATTGTATGGGGTCCCTACTCTGTATTGGCCTTTCTTTCTCTTAACGGTTATCGCAGCAGCTTGACATCCCTTTCCGTCGAGGTGGCTATGCTTTTTTCCAAGTTCCATTCTGTCTGCAATCCTGCGGTTTACGCATTTATGAATGCAAGATTTCGCATTCGTTTGGTCAAAATTATGTCGTGCCAGATTCAGTTATGGAGGGCAGGTTGCAGTTGTCTAATTCCGCCCTCCTACACTTAACTTTTATCTTTTCGGTCCCTTTCCATTAAAAAAAAACACTCATACGTCTCGGTCTTACCTTCCTCCCGCTCTTTCCTTCTGCTCCCCCATCGGTACTTCTTGGGTTTTGGTCCTCAGCGGAGACCACAAATCAGCCACCAACTCAGAGGGCATTTTTCATCCTCTTTACCTCGCATCTTTACTTAACGGGAAACGGAATTTGTGGACATCCTTGTTCTGTGCAAGCATCTGTCCACATTGTTTTAAAGGAACATGTTCCTGTCCATGTTTCTTTATTCCAATTTGTCTCAACTAAATAAAAGGTGCTTGACAAACTGCCGTATTGTGCAAAACCACATTGGACTTTGGCCTACCCCTTAGTACGGATTAGGCAGGATGGAAAGAACCTATTTTCAAGCACTTTCTCTGTATACCGTGGACAGCTAGATGTTCACTAAAAACACAGTGCACAGCAAGAAAAGCGTAGCACAAACAAGGTATCTTTATGTACATAAAAATGACCCACGGACAGAGGACAGGTGGACTGCCTTTTTCTGAAATCCAAGTAAACGGATAAACGGAGGCTGTCAAGTGTTTAAAGTACCGTAAGTGTCAACATTTTCTTAAGGCAAATAGAGAGTGGGAAACTTGCAAGATTATCTGATCCGCCGGTCTCTACTACGGAAGATAAACAAGTAAGTAAAAGTTCATGCGGGTACTAAAGTAACAGGTTGCTAGAATGTCGTAGGACATTCAAGCACAGTTTAGAAGAGCGCAGTCACAGAACTCGCTCATTATGGTAAACGTAATACAACTAAGCTCAATGGAAAAGTTACAATAGATGACGTGCCAATTTAGACGTTTGTGCTTGTGATGACGCGTTTAAACCAATTTGTCAAGGAACTCTCCGCCATATGCCAATGTCAGTAGACGGAAACTACTGTATGAACAAAAAACAAGTCCACTATTTTTGCAAGTAAATTTATTTATGAAAATGTTTTTGAAGGAACTGCTTAAAATGTTGATCTTTAAGAGTTAGAGCCTAGTGTTAGTAGTAGTCATCCAAGACCGATATTTTACCAGCACCTAGTTTTCGTGCCATGAAAGGTAAGCTAGATAAACAGACATATATACTTCTGTTTATATTGTTATAGAGCATGAGCAAGACTTTCTAGCTTCAAAAATTATGAATTTAAAGGCATTGGTCAATTCAACGTCCACTGATAATATTTATTGACAAGATAAAGCAACCACCACGACCCAGTATCATTAGATGCAGTCCTTTGTATCAGGGAAAACGAATCTGGTGTGTGCTTGCGAGCAAGTTTATCGATAAAAAAATGTTTTTCGAATCATAGTTATACGTTGGACCTAAGTAAGCCTTAGCTAATTTCGCAAAGGAAAGCAGACACAAACACCTATTCTAGACTAACCTTTCAGCTACTTCTTCAATGCGATCATATTGAATACTTTGGCGAGGGACAATTTCTAGATAATAGACTGAAGAATGAAGGCTCGTCGTAAACATCCAGGTCTGCTCGTGAATTTTCAAGCAGGTTTCAGTAATCGTTGTCAAACTAAATGAGAATTGAGAGTTAGCATGGACGCTTAAGGACAGTTCAGGAAACACAAGCAATACTTTGCTGACAGGTACATGCAGAAAAGGTGAAGATAAACCTCTTTACCCAAGGGCTTTCTTGCGCACAGATCGTAATGCTAGCCTTTGCTGAGGAGCCATATATATTCGCTAAGAAAACTTATTTGTTCAATTCTCCTAGGGGTCAATAACGGCCCTACTCAGCAGCCGCACATCGTCTGTTAATGTAAGCAAATGAATATTGCCAGAAAATATATTTCCGACTAGAATGGCCATTTCTGGCGCATTAGTCGTTAGCAGTCAGTCATGCTTAAGGAGGTTTTAAAGTGGTTATTGAAAATGCTTTTAAAGCCTAGGGATATTCATTTTATTACATATGATTCATCCGTTTGGTAATCTTCCACTTGAGGTATGTAGCAGACTTTACCTTCTACCTTAAAAGATAGCTTCTTGATAGCATAGACGACAGTTATACCATCCTCGCAATACTGTAGTTATAGTTCAGTATAGTTCAGTATATTTAGGGTAGTAGGCAATGCCTTTGATGACCCTATTGAAAACAGTATGCATGAAATATCCAACATAAAATATGTCACTA